GTTACCATACCACGGATTAAGATTTTGTATTTACAGTTTGTTTTCGTAGGCCAGAATATATGTATATGTAAAGAAACTACATAAACAAAACCAAAATCAAAACTGAAATTATTGACATCTTTTTAAAATTACGTATTTAAGAAATTCATGCATTTTTTCCATATAAACTGAATAATTACTATAACCCCTAAAAACTAGAAGACGTGTTTTATAACAAAAATAAAGCGATTTACTCACTGGATATCACTAAAAACCAAGAAAAACAAGAAAGAGATTATACTGAATATATTATGCTTACATTATGATTTTAGGATGGAAAAAAATAAAGGAAACTTCATCCCTGAAAACGAGGCAGTATGGTCTTGAGTTTTTTATTTTTGACCAGTGGAACAATAGAAATAAAATTATTTGAGTCTTGACGGGCCTTGTTTATTGATAGTGATATCATGATATACCTACATAATTGTACTTAGTGGTTAGATCCTCTTTGATTGTACTACAACTACTACTGCATAATATGTTATTCTATAAAATATTTAAAAACTACGTATTGTTATTGTCATCGATGTTGTGATAGTGATCTCATTCATACACTTCACAGCCATTTAAGTGACGTACTGATTTTATCATTATTTTAAATACTGGTGCTAAATTATATTTTTATGTTTTACTACCTGTTTCTTTGATAAAAATAGCAAATTAAATTTATTCGATATAAATAGTTGTTATTCGTTCGTGTGAAAGATGCAGAAAGAGCACAGGGACAGAATACAGATGAATTTCAGCTCACTTGTAGAGCAAACAGACTTGGACCTTATGGTCACTGCTCTGTATGAAAAAGGAGTCTTCTCTGAACTCATGATAGAGCCCTACAAAGTGAGTATTCCTTTGTTGTACATTTGTCAAAGTATTTTGCAAACTTTTCCAGGATAAGAATAAGTAGCACAAAATTATAATTTAGGCGTGACTGCTAACCAATTTTGTAATGGGCCATAATTCCGATTCGATTTCAGTTGGCGGGCCACCTAATAATAAACTTAAGTCATATTTAGTTGTGCTAAAGTACAAAAGTGTTGGCAGGCCACTTTGTGACTCGCTCACTTGGTCAATGTTACTTGGGACATACGTCTCCCAGAATAGTGAGCGACTGGTGCGTGAAGCCAACCCTACATGCAAATCAAGTGAGAGTGTCAATATGAACTAGTTTTACTATTCATTTGTTGAACCAACCAGTCTGTAGTGAGGCGACCCATGCACAGGATGGTTGTACTGTTGTCTTGCATAAAAAAACACTAAACAATAATTATTAAAGTTTAAACATATTTACAGGATAATAGTAAAGATGCCCGAATGCGCAAACGACTATTATATATAGATATAACACGGCGAGGACCTGAAGCATTCTGCAACCTGTTGGATGCACTCTCAGAGAATGGCTACTGGGATTTGGTGCGAGATCTTGACCCAAGCAGCTCTCTGCACGCCAGGAACTCCAGTCAGTTCAATTTTGATTCTTATTTAGGGCTCAATTGATTTGAAAATTGTGGTGCATATTTTTAAACAGCTTTTGGATGATTATTTTTTAGGACCTGCACCCAGCTTTTCAGGAGAGAGTAAATTTTACAGTTTATCTAAACTAAAGAAAACTGGAAAAGAACCACATGGTGAGCATAATACAATTGGGCATGATACTTGGAAGAGTTAGAAATTGAAGATATTTTAATTTGTAAAAATCCATTGAAGATATTTTAGTTTGTAAAAATCTATTTACCTATCTAGATTCAATTTAGTGATGCTGCTAAATGTGGATGCAATAAAACATCCATTCATCTATCATCAGTATAGATTTCATTTTGATTCATTCTAGTAATAACTCGAATGAAAGCAAGGATTTGGTAAAACATGACACATTTCTTTGTGTTATGTTTGATTTAGATAAGTAATTAAGAATTGGTATACTTTTTAGATCCCAACAAAAATCTTGCTCAACACAGTTCATCCAGTTACATTGATAAAAGGAATACTACCTTAAACAAAGAGACAAATGGTAAGACAGTCATTTAATATGAACTACTCATTACATACATTGTCTGCACCGAGTTCGCAAACGTCATGAATATTTTGCAGATTAACCACAGCCACCGAGTGCACTGTGGCAGGTCATTCAAGTTGCCTTTATGGCGCCTCTTATGTTCCTGAAATTTTGCTACATGAATGTATTAATCTAATTAATATAAATTCAAGGCAACGCCGAACGTGAACTCCATGTGAAAGGCGTGGTCAACCTGAATCAAAATTCTGAAATTCCACATTTCAATGTAATCAAATCCACAAAATTTGTTGAAGATAATGAGAGTGGTAAGTGCTAATTTTCTTTTTCCTGTACTATACATATTTAGACATTTTTAAAAACACTCATATTTCAATAGAGAAGGTGTTATTGATGACTCATCAATCATCATGTTAGAACACTATTCATTTGTTTCCATTGCATCAAGGACGTCCTGACTCCAAATGTTGTGACCTTATAGCATGGCTTTTGATTTGCAGACATTAAACTGTACCGCACTCGTGGGCGCAACCGCGGCGTGCTGGTGCTGTTCAGCTACGTGGCGTTCCAGTTCGGCATCGAGGACTACCGGCACGGTGCATGCAATGACGCGGTCAACCTACGCTACCTCTTCACGGAGCTCGGCTTTAAAGTGCTGTCTTACAGCGACCTTGATTTAACAGTGAGTTCACAATGTAGTTCACCTGCTTTTTTGTTTTGTGTAACTGATTCACAGCCATTGATATAGTTTTTTCTTTTAGTTTATAGACTTATAACATACAAAGTAAGATACTGTTAAAAATCTGGTGAGGACGGACTCTCCTTCTTGTATAGTGAGAAGCAATGATCGGAATTGATAGTTAGTAGATGAGACAGTTAATTTAGCTAAACTAAAGACATTCCCTTCTACAAATCCCAGAACTTCTCGGAACGGATTATATTTGAATATATATAGTAGTATAATATTTATAGAATTTTGACATTCCATTTATTGAAACTTGAGTTGTAAATTCGACAAATTATTATTTCCTATTAAGTGTTTGTTACAAATTAGGCGATTAACACACTGCATCGCGCCCCGCGATGGAGCCCGAGACGCGGTTTCACGCGCGCGATGGCGAAGACGCAGATCTGCGTCAACGCGCGGTTTAATCTGCGCGGGGCAGCAGCGGTCCGCGTCACTTAAAGTACCCGCTTCGAGTGATTGTACATGTAGCTGAGATCCTTCTTTGACAAGAATGGTTAATAATACAGAACTCATTCAGGACTACTGTTTATTTGGTTTTTGTTGACTCAAATAAAAAGGCACCGAAGATATTGGATACATCCCTTTTTACGAACCAGATCGATAAATGGATAATTTCAACTTCATTACAAAGATTTTAGAAAATATGAAGATAAATTTGGTCGATTTTCAATAGCAAATATGAATTTATCGACGTCGAGATCTATTGTAGAAAACTGAACATGTCCTTAAGCTTCTGTCTGTAAGTCTGCGCGGTAGTGCGGAGCGCAGTGTGCCATACCCTGCGGTTCGCTGCGCCCCTCCGCGCGGGGTGCGGTAAAACCGCGCGCGCCGCGCTCCCTCGCGGCAAAGCGTTGTCAGTGTGTTGTTCGACGGCGCGTGTTTGCCATACAAACTGAGGTACTTCAGTACAACGTTAATAGACACAGCTCCGCGCTCCGTCGGGAGGCGCGGTGCAGTGTATTTCTAGTCAGTGGATACAGTTGTATTTCTAGGTATAACGTTAGATGCTAAATTGCAATGGGGTCCCCATATAAGTAAGTTATCAAAATGGCTCGGCTCTGCAGTGTACGCGATTAAAAAAATAAGGAAACTTTCAGACGTCGAAACCGCTAGATTGGTTTACTTCAGCTACTTTCACAGTCTAATGACATACGACATTTTGCTTTGGGGTAATGCCGCCGATATCAACAGAATCTTTGTCCTGCAGAAACGTGCAGTTAGGGCAATTTACAATCTGGGCCCCAAAGTATCTTTGAGAGATAAGTTTAAGGAAATTAACATTCTTACACTAGCCTCACAGTACATTTATGAGAATGTAATTTATGTTAAAAGGAATAGTAATTTATTTATGAAAAATAGTGACATATATAGACATAACATTAATACGAGGAATAGAAATAAACTAGCTTTTCTTGATAGTCGTCTTCACAAAGTCAAAAAATCATTTAAGGGGCAATGTATACGCTTCTATAACAAAATTCCGGTTGATATACAAAATTTGCCTTACACGAGGTTTAAAACTATAGTGAAACAAAAACTTTATACTAAAGGTTATTATACAACTTCTGCGTACTTGGATGACAAAAATCCGTGGTAGTAACCCGTTTAGCTCATGGAGGTAGTCTCGATCTCTGATGTTTCAAATAATAATAAAAAATATTGTAAATGTTATTTACAAAGAGCAACCCCTAGAGTTTCTTGCTCATTGAGCGGTAGAGTTTAATATTGTGACGATTTCAAGTGTAATAATGCTTACCTATGAAATAAAGATTATTTTGAATTTGAATTTGAATTTGTGATAATCGCCTTATTGTCTCAAAAAATAATATTGTAGTTGTATTTTTTACACTTAAGACTTAAATCCAACTCTATGCCGCTTACGATAAGAACGGTCCAAAGTACAAAGTGTCAAGCTTGATGTGCTCTTGACTGTACTTACGCATTTAAATACTTTATCCATTTTAAAATAAAAATGTTACAACCTGTATTTTGGAACGTTTAGAAAATAAACAGTAAAAAAAAAAGAAATTTTATGCGCATTGATGTTTAATATGATTTCCGGGACTTCTTTACCATATTATTATCACGAAATGGGTATGTCCATACTAAGAGAACGTTCATATGAACCGTTATACCGTCTTACGATATGGGGGGGGGGGGGGGGCCTTCAAACGAGGCGTGAAAAAACAGCACGCAAGGTGAAGGTGTCTAGGGCAGTTATTGTATCACCACTGCACTAGATTCCTTCACGTTTGGATTCCACTTTCCATTTTACATCTGGTGGAGTGGAGTCACCTGCCTGTCAGGCATAAAAAATAAAATACTATAGGTAAATTAACTCTCTCTCTCACATCCTTGGATCACTAATGATCGGAATTGAATTTCTTTTGTTAACAATTAGGCCTCAATAACAGAGCGGCGACGAGCCGTGCTTGTTCTGTGGTTGTAGTGAAGTGTGCAAGCGGTGCATTGTGGCGTGCAGCATACTAGCAGAGTTCGCTAGGGCAGGGCGTTTACTGTGCTGACTAATCAGAGTCGGCTGCTTAACCCGTCACTCGTCCTAGATATACGATGTGCCTAACAATTGTGCTAAAAAAATATATATAAATTTATTTATTTTTAATGGTGCATGAAAACAGCTGCGTTAGAGACGCTACAGTACCATAACCATTCGGAACACCATGTGTCTCTAGGACATGTGCCACGTTAAGTAAACCAGCGTGCACGCTTACGCTTACGCTTCTTCACTGTACAGTACACAAAACTGCTGTTAGTAAGTAAACGCTGTTAGTAAGACACCTCGATATAAGTCTGTATGTTCAGTAGCACACTCATGACGTTTCCTCACTGCACGCTCCTAATGCAGGAATCGCGCCCTAGTGCTTGCAATTTCTTTGTAAAAACGCATGATTTGTTTCTTAGGAGACACAGCATGCACTGAGCAAACTGCGCGAAGGTATGTGCGGTGAGGGGCCCGAGACTGTATTCGTCGTATTTTCGTCGCACGGCTACGCGCGTTCGTGCTCTAGTGACACGGACCTGCGCTGTTCCGACGGAGGGCTAATCTCGCGGTCATCCATCATCAACTACTTCAATAACGATAACTTCCCCGAGCTCAACGGCGTGCCCAAGGTCTTCGTCTTCCAGACTTGCCGGTAACAGTTGTAAATTTATGTAGTCCTTTCTCAAGCCGTCTCTATTGAGTGTTATAGAACAATCCTTATTTGTAGGGGCGACAACAACGACCTCGCCCCGCGCTCGCCGGAGCACATGCCGCCCCCCGCACCTACGGCCCCTCCCGCAGCCCCTCGGCCCCCCTCAGGCACCGCGCACGACGGCGCGCAGGGCTACGTGGATGAGGACCGGCCCGATGCCAGCGTAGACCGTCTTCACTCTGACATCCTCATCGCACACGCCACAGTGCCCGGTGATTATTCTTTGATGCGATGTGCTTGTGTAATGGTCTGGAATAATTAAATAACAGTTTGAAAATGTTTATCAGGTTACGTGTCAAATCGCGACGTGGTAGGCGGGTCTTGGTACATCCAGGCGCTGTGTGATGTGTTCGCTGAACGCGCGCACGACTGTCACGTCGAAAAGCTGTTCACGCTAGTAGACGAGCGGCTCAAGCTGCGCTTCGGGCCGCAAACCTCCTCAGTCGATCGCTGGGGTTTCAACAAGCGCCTCTATCTGCACCCCGGCCTCTACGAGGACTGACCAACACCTTACGAGTATTACTCGGCCTCCTTCTACCTATTGCCCAACGCGATAAAGCGTTTAACGAACGTAGTCGGCATAAAATGTCTCCTGCGCGACTATTTGCGTAGTTATACGAGCAATATGCATTATCTGTGTAATATTATACTTGCAATATTCTATTTCATCGGACGTTTCAGATAGCCGTGGTTGTGTTCAAGTGTACAAAAAAAATAAACTACGTTTTATGTGACTACAAAGTATGAAATAATATTACAGGCCAACGCGTATACTTGATGTATTAGTCAATTATGTGCCACTTTCATATTAAAAAGTACATTATTAGGTACGTAATTCAATTGTATTAAAATACACAAATAGAAATATTCTGCAATATGTTCTCTAAACGACATTCATGTACTATTTGTACATTTAATAAGTATATTTGAAGGTGTTTGAACGACTGTGATAAATGAACAATGTGGTTTTGTTACCACACGTTGGAAGGTTATGTGGGGTGTAGATCGTTTTTTCTCTCTGACCTATTTTAAATGTTACATAGAAATCTTCCAAATATCTATTAAGTACTTACATAATTTTATCTTTATATATTGTGCCCATACGTCATGTCAACGCATTTAATGTTTAATTTAATTAAGAATCAATAAATAATGTTAAGAGAAGAGTTTTTATCTAACTTATTGCTCAACAATAAAGTAAGTTAAAAATAAAGTAAAATACGTGAAATTATTGGTATTTGATTTATATTTCAGTAAAACATATATCACTATTTGAAATGTAGTACAGTCAACAGCACATCGAACTACACACTTATGTTCGAATATTGCCTCCAATGCAACGGAACAAAATCCGTCAACGTGTAGCTTGATATACTGCCGTCTGTACATAATAGTACGTAAACCGGCCCATTCACTATCTGCGTGGCAGTCCGCCGCGCAGGCAAGAAACTTCACGCACACTATACTGCGTATGGTCCACGAATATAATCTCCCACGACTACAGAAAGGCTTGCACGCTGCAACTACATTAAAATCCTGCATTACGCGGCGGACGGTAAGGCAGACTACAATGCAAGATAATGAATGCCCCCTTTTAATCTACAAAGGGTCAACTTGACGTGCTCTTGACTCATTCATGATAAAGAATTTTGTCCTGTATTGCAGTCCGCCGCGTAATGCAGGATTATGAATATATCCGCAGCGTGCAAGTCACCCTGCAATGCGACTTGCGAGACTCCAAACGTGGGCCATATAGAGGATAGCGAATGGGCCGTTTTAGACCGTCGTTGTTATCATACACGACATAGATTTGAATTTATTCAAAAGTCAAGCTTGACGTACGCGTGACCCTGCACAAATATTCATCGGGCAACAATATTGCACAATAATTAGTAAATTTTTTTAACGTACACGCATGAGCATGTGCGTTATTAAGGCTACGAAGCCTCGCACTACGGAAACCTTAGAGGATGGAAAAATAAAGGAACAATAGTCTAAGAGGGAAACCCTGTATCGCGGGTGACATCAGGTGACATGGACACACATAGACAACCACAAACTACATCCAAACTCATGAGAGAAATAGAATATTTCTCCCGGTCCAGGGAATCGAACCCGAGACCTCTACGTGGCAGTCCAGCATGGTAACCGTTCAGCCACAGAGGCAGTTTATTATATTAACACAGCATTAAAGAATTAAATTATTCAAGGATATTTATTTATCATATTAACTGATTTTAGATGTAAATGCACCAAGTGCTAGTATTGATTTCGATAAAACTAACATAGGTACTGCAAATTCCATTATATGTTATTTGCTTGTTATTTGTATGTATGTACTGTAGCGTGATTTTCCGAAAATTTTCAAATAAGTGGAAATTTTTCTGGAAAAATTTCTGAGAAACTAGACAATTTTAGGAATAGGGCTAAATATATAAAAGGCATTCATTACAGTCTACTGCATATGCATGAATTCATATGGAGTAGATAGATGATATGCAGGATTATGAATGTAATGTGTAAGCCATCCTGCAAGACTCCGTTATGTGCAGTCTTCGCTTGCGCGGCGGACTACCATACAATGGTAGTCCGTCCGTCGTTTCGTTCAAAGCCGTTCTGATTTTTAATTTTTTATGGCATTCCTTATCCCACGTGACCATGTTCGAATTTTTAAATTTGAATAATCAGTAAAAAGTCGTCATTTAGTCGGTTCTAGTTAGACAAAACTAGATTCAGTAGATACCTACGGCGTTTCAAAGTTACAGGGGTATTTTACTGTCCACGCTGCACTGAAAAAAGTTTACATATTCCAGCGGCACTATTCCTCAATCTCGAGAACCGTAGCACCTAGCTTCAACCGTTAAAGCATATTGTCAGTCTTTTTACACTTGTAGCGGGCCAAATACTCGTAGGGAGTTTACAACGCTGGACGTAAACCTACAATTAGAGGTAGACGTTTAAACGAAAAGCACTTATAAAAGTTTGCTTTTTAAAATAAGCGCATAAGCACGCTTTTCAATTTAGGCGCCGGGCATGCGCGCAAGTCTCTCCGCAACGCAAAGCGGAAAACTCGTGATCGCCTTTGCGCGGAAGGCAGATTTTTTAACATAAAAGTGTATGCGCCTAAACGTTTAAGTGAAAAAGCATCTAAAAAAGCACGCTTTTTTAAAAAGCATAACGTTTAAAAAAATAAGCAGTTTTTTCCATCTCTACCTATTGTACATATGCTTTTAGGATCTTGTTAGGGTTGCCGCGTTCCTGTAGCGCCTTTGAATGTTCACCGAAGCGCGAACAGTTTAGACTTGGGCCTGATCGGTGAGTATAGTGTTCTGTGCTGATCGGTCCTTGGTAGATATGGTTAATATAATATATAGCTCAAATTATAACGTTAAATTAAAAAAATCTTCTTCGTTTTGCTCAATGGCGGTTCCTTCTTTTTAAGATTTCGCCAGTGTCGAGTTTTCCGCTTAGCAGAATGTAAGGGCTACTGCAGCTGTGTTACTACGGTACAACGAGTATTGGGGGGGGAAAATTAAAAAATAATTATAGCAATTATAATTTGAAAGACATAAAGGTGCTAAAATTATATTGAACGTTTTTTCACTTTGGATTAGAGTACGTTAAGAAAATTAAACCAAATGCCATCTAGCGACATAATTTTACAATATTTCAATGCCATACCATCAATATACCCGTGCTTTACTTACTCAGTTAACAAAAAAATCCTTCTTCGGCCTGAGTTATCTCCCTTAATAACATTTCATAGATGGCGCTATATTCTATGTGAAAATTGCGGCTCTTGTCATTGGTTGAAACAATTATAACGTGAATTACTTTCACATGTTATTTGTAGCATTTAACGTTTGGCGCGAAACGCGAAATAGGTGATTGGTTTATTGATGTTAAATTTCACGTTTGAGTACGCTTAAAGCTAATGCTATATTTAGCGCTTAACAAGTATACAATTATTGTAGTTATGTTATAAATTATAATTTTGGTTACGTTTTAATACGATTTTGAGCTAATGGTAGAACGTTAACAAAATTTCGTCTGGTGAAGCGATTTAAATTAAGATATAATTAAGTACTTGAATTTATTTAATTAGTTAAGCGTTTGTTTAATTAATAAGTCGTTGTAATATTTGTATATAAAAGTACGAGTGTGTGCATTATTATTAATTCTTATTAGTGTAATTTACTGTAAATAACCAGTATAAAGTTGTATGCAATTTGTAAATAGTAAATTGTTAAAGTATGAAGGGAAGCTCATTGACTTAACGTCTATAACCTGTAACCACCATATTATTATGTAATAGTTACAAAACAAATGAAGTCGGTCGTAACTAACCATAAAAAATTGTAAACTATTGTATAGATAGACCATAGATGCTATACTTAGGGTCGTATTCCAGAACTCTACTCAATGCTCAAGTCAGGACTTGAGCATTGAGTTCTGGAATACTACCCTATAAGTTAACTCACATCAACTATTTCACGTTTCTTTCCATTCGTTACGTTATCACACGACCTTGAGCTGCTAAAAATTATAATTTTAACACTTTAAATAGCGCGCTATAAAAATTTAGCACTTAGCATTTAGCGTGCTATGCGAATATAGCAGTTAATCTCATCTCTAGTCCTTAGTGGAAGCGATCCTTGATAGTTGAATCGGTCAACTGAACTAGGCCAGTCTTCTAGTTCATTTAGTTCATCTTGTTCCTGTCTTGTCCTTGCTCGGACATTGAACGAACGCTCCAAACTAGTAATTGTATTCACATAAAACTACTACGGACTTCTAGTATTATGAGGTCAATACTACACTTTACTAAATATTTAAAAATACAATTTGTATGGAATTGGTACTATTTGATTTTCCTTCATATTTTACAGGTTTAAAGACTGTTATTCTAACTAAATATCCTTTTTTTTACAAACTAAGAATTTTTGTTAGAATGGTGTGTTTAAAAATCAATATTTAGGTACAACTATTATATATATAAAGCTACAAATCCTGACTCACTTAGAAAAATAGAACGCATATTTCTCGATGTGGTGGAAAAAAGATATTTATACCGTTGTACGCGGATAGGCTCCAAGGCAAAGAATTAAATATGAGAAGACCTGAATGTGGGAAATGTAAACGAGTGATCAACGGCCTGCAAAAATTATAATACATGGGGGAGGGGGGATTTTTGTGAGATACACCTTGGTCAATTTCTGCAGAAAGTAAAAAATGTTGGAAAATCAAATAAACAAGATGGCCGCCGTTCAAATTTCGAAGTCTTCTATAACGGAAACTATTAGAGATAGGTAGGAGGTGCTGGAAGGAATGAGAGGGTAATAGTGGTCAATAGCCTGTGTAAAAAAATCCAATATGGCGGCCGAAGAAAACTTACTTCAATGCGGCTGAAAATTGACATGCGGGGATCTTTAGGAGTCCTTAATCATAATTTGTGCTCAAATATGGCCGCCATACAAGCGTTTGTTGGTAGTAGAAAAAAAATTGTTCTGATCCCTTACAAAATTGTCATGTGGGAGTCTCTAGGAGTGCTTGATAATAATTTGTGATCAGTATTAGTTTATCGCCTTTTTTCAATAAGGCTGCCATAGAAGTATTTTTTGGCGGTAAATGAAAATTTGCTCTAATTCACTTGAAAATGGGCATGGGTGTTTAATAATAATTTCCGGTCAAAATTTATTTTTCGCCATTTTTCAATATGGCTGCCTTACAAACTTTTTTTAGCGGTTAATAAAATTTTGCTCTAATTCTACTGAAAATCGCCATGAGTGGTTCTTTATGGGTGTTTAATAATAATTTGCTTTTGATTTACTTTTTACCATTTATCAACATGGCCGCCATTAAAGAGCTATGTTAATTTTTTTAAAGTCATAAGTGCTGAGGCTGTTGGCCGAGGTCCAGTGGAGGGTGAAGCCCGTAGCGTCCGCATGCCACCTTACGTAGGTAGGTAGGTAGGTAGTATACGGGGACCAAATATCACAATTGTTGAAAATGTAAGGCATACTTCCCGATGTAGTAGAAATAATATCTTATTTACTTATACAACTTATAGTGTTGTTGTATCTCGACTGTCTCTCTGTTAGATTCTTTTTTATTGGAAGCTATGCCAAAAAGAGAAGTATTTACGGAAAAAATGCCAGACAATCACTTCAAATTTGTAGTCTCAAACTAGGGAATTTCCTGTACTATGAGTACCAGAGTAACGATAATTCTGAAGGCAATATACAGAATACCCTGACCGGACCAATTAAAAATTTATTTTTTTTTTCACAAATTGGGTCAAATAAGGGATCGAATCTGAAACCTCTTGAATATAAGCTTGCAAAAAGTAATATTTTTTGGTAGGTATCTGTATGTATAATATCAACCTACGTGTACGAGTATATGAAACGAGCCCTATACCCCACCTATATGGTGGGGTCGGGCTTGGCCTGCAGCGCGTGGTCGCTTTCAGATTACGAGGTGTGCTTATGTTCTTCGGTGGCACAGTGATTAGTACTATGGGCGCTTGATGAGGAGGTCGCAAAACTGTAAAATTTTTGTGGAAGAAAAAGATCAAAGTCATAAACTACAGAAGATTGTTCTCACTGCTAAACACCCGGCAGTGTGGTCTTAAGCCGTAGCTTACTCTTTTGAACGTATGAAAAAAAAAAGAAACTTAAACTTGACATTTCGTGGCTGACAGTGGCTGACAGACACCTGACTACCTGACAGGTATGCAGCGGACAGTTTTCAGTTTCAAGATTATCGGTTAAAGTTAGAAAATTTTCTTGCAATTTACAAAATATCAAGTTGTATAAAGACTTACAAAGGTACGTGGTACTCTTGGGTGTATCATAAGTTGTTATTTATTAGTAAAATTAAGTATTATACCTACTTTATTTCTTAATTCAATCATTAATTGGCTTTACAGTTTTGGCGGGAAACGACTTTCAGCACTGAAAATCAAAAATGGACAAAAGAAAACAGTTCAATAAAGGCGCACCTCCAAAGAGGTTTAAGTCTCGCGATGATAACGAAGATAATAATGACATACCAGGTAGTTTTGAAGAGCAACTCGCTGGTATGGACACTGGCGAGTTCGAATCACAACAGGTATTTGGCGAGGGTCCTGAAAATCAAAGCACAAACACAAAGTGGTCGCGGCCTGCCGCGCCAATTATGGATCCCAAGAAAGATGTCTTAGTGTTTCAGCAATTAGATATTGACCATTACAATGGACAACCAATACCTGGAATGCCAGGTTCACAATTGAGTCCTGTGCCTATTATGAGAATGTATGGCGTTACAATGGAAGGAAATTCGGTATGTTGCCATGTTCATGGTTTTACACCATACTTTTATGTTGCAGTACCACTTAATTTTACTGAATATTCTTGTAATGATTTGAAAAATAATCTGAATAAGGCAATTTTGGAAGACCTACGTTCCAATAAAGATTGCATTAAAGAAGCTGTTCTAGAGGTCCATTTAGTAAAAGCAAAGTCAATTATGTATTACAAGGGTGATGATGACAGTACCTTTGCCAAAGTGTCTCTTGCATTACCAAAGTTGATCGCGCCAGCAAAACGCCTGATTGAAAAAATGCCTACTAGTTTTGGCTTAATGGATCCAACATTTTATGAAACCAACATTGATTTTGACATTCGTTTTATGGTGGACACTGCAGTGGTAGGTTGCAGTTGGATTGAATTACCGGTTGGCAAATGGAATTTAAGATCAAAAATTTCACAGCTGCGCCCTGAGTCACGCTGTCAAATTGAAGTTGATGTGGCTTGGAATATGTTTATTGCGCACCAACCTGAAGGAGAATGGTCAAAAGTTGCACCAATAAGAATATTGAGTTTTGATATAGAATGTGCTGGAAGAAAGGGCATTTTTCCAGAACCCAATCATGATCCTGTTATACAAATAGCTTCTATGGTCATAAGACAAGGAGAAAAAGAACCATATTTAAGAAATGTTTTCACTCTCAACACTTGTGCACCTATAGTAGGTTCTCATGTCCTCAGTTTTCAATCTGAATCAGAGATGCTATCTAAATGGGCAGATTTCTTTCGAGAATTGGATCCAGACATTATAACTGGATATAATATTAATAATTTTGACTGGCCTTACCTCATAAACCGTGCCAAACATTTGAAGGTTGAAAATTTTGATTTCTTAGGCCGCATCAAAAATATAAGGTCAGTTATTAAAGATTCTGTATTACAGTCCAAGCAAATGGGCCGCAGAGAAAACAAGAGCATTAACTTTGAAGGTAGAGTCCCTTTTGATTTGCTACTTGTCCTAATTAGGGACTACAAACTGCGGTCATACACTTTGAATGCTGTGAGTTATCATTTTCTTCAAGAACAGAAAGAAGATGTACATCATAGTATTATTGCAGATTTGCAAAATGAAAATGAACAAACACGGAGGCGTTTGGCAATGTATTGTTTAAAAGATGCTTATCTGCCCCTGAAACTATTAAACAAGCTGATGTGTATTGTTAATTATATGGAAATGGCCAGGGTAACTGGTGTGCCATTGCTTTGTCTGCTAACAAGGGGTCAACAGATCAAGGTTGTTAGTCAGTTGCTAAGAAAGGCAAAGGATGCTGGATATTTAATGCCAGCCCACCATGGTCAAGGATCAGATGATCAATTTGAAGGAGCAACAGTCATTGAACCTAAAAAGGGATATTATGCTGATCCTATATCAACACTTGATTTTGCTTCTTTGTATCCAAGCATCATGATGGCACACAACTTGTGCTATACAACACTTTTGCCACCTTCCACTCAAAAGGATCTAAAATTAAATTCTGATGATATCAGCACAACTCCATCCAAGAACATGTTTGTTAAAGCAAATGTTAGAAAAGGTTTACTTCCCGAAATTCTGGAATCATTACTTGCAGCAAGAAAAAAGGCTAAGGCAGATTTAAAAGAAGAAAAAGATCCTTTTAAAAGATCTGTTCTTGATGGCAGACAATTAGCCCTAAAAATAAGCGCCAATTCAGTGTATGGTTTCACAGGAGCCCAAGTGGGAAAATTACCTTGCCTAGAAATATCAGGAAGTGTGACTGCTTATGGAAGAACTATGATTGAGTTCACGAAATCGGAGGTTGAAAAGAAGTATACTAAAGCAAATGGATATAAGGAAGATGCTGTAGTCATTTATGGGGATACAGATTCTGTTATGGTTAAATTTGGAGTAAAAACTCTTGAGGAAAGTATGGAATTGGGGAAAGAAGCAGCTGATTTTGTGTCATCAAAATTTGTTAAACCTATTAAACTTGAATTTGAGAAAGTATACTATCCATATTTGCTTATAAACAAGAAACGTTATGCAGGACTTTACTTCACAAAGCCAGATAAATATGACAAAATGGACTGCAAAGGTATTGAAACTGTTAGACGCGACAACTGCCCCCTCGTATCCAATATGATGAGCACATGTCTACAGAAATTACTCATAGATAGAGACCCAGATGGAGCAGTCAATTATGCTAAACAAATAATAGCCGATTTGCTGTGCAACCGCATTGATATATCCCAACTTGTTATAACAAAGGAACTGACTAAAAATGATTATGCTGCAAAACAAGCTCATGTGGAGCTAGCTAACAAAATGAGGAAACGAGATGCAGGTACAGCACCAAAGCTGGGCGACAGGGTTCCTTATGTTTTATGCTGTGCTGCTAAGAACACGCCTGCCTATATGAAAGCAGAAGACCCAATATACGTTTTAGAAAATAGCATCCCTATTGATTTCAACTATTATATGGAAAATCAGCTATCTAAACCACTTTTAAGAATTTTTGAACCTATTCTAGGAGAGAAAGCAGAATCTTTACTTCTTAAAGGGGAACACACGAGAACAAAAGCTATGGTTACATCTAAAGTTGGTGCTCTAGCTGCCTTTACAACAAAGAAAGAAAAATGCATAGGTTGTAAATCTATTATGCCAAATGATGTGAAAAAAGCACTTTGTAACCACTGTATAGAAAAAGAGGGACAGTTGTACATCACAGAAATATTTAAGTTGAGACAACTGCAAGAAAAATTCTCAAGACTTTGGACAGAGTGCCAAAGATGCCAAGGAAGCTTACATGAAGAGGTTCTGTGCACTAACAGAGATTGTACAATTTTTTACATGAGAAAGAAAGTTGGCATGGAATTAGACTCTCAAGAAAAAACTGTTCTTAGGTTTGGAAAACCAATTTGGTAATTCCATAACAATAAAATGTGTAATGTAGGTTTGAGTTGTTTTATTTTGTTTTCATTTTTTGCTATTATAATAATGGTACAATAGTTTTGAAAATGTATTTATTGCCTTACTTTTGTAGTATTTACTTTAGGTTTATTTTAATAACTTAATATTTAGATACAAAAAACGTAGGTTTTATATTAAGTTGTTAAGAATGATACACTGACACATCCAATTTCATAGTTGATATAAAAAATTCGTTTGTGAATAAGGAATGTTTCTGCAATACTATATTTTTGTATGAATACGACAAGTACGCATTCAAGCTTATTTTAAGTACATTTAAAATTAAATACACATAAAACATACACAAATTGTCAGTAGAATTTCACATTATGCCTCATTTTATCACAGAAATATTAAGTTGACAAACAATTTTAAACAATAAAAAATATCAATAAGTCTCTGATCACCACTGTCTACTCTAAAATTATAATTTGCATAGAAATAAACATTAGAATAAATAATAATTTAAAAATATCCTATGTAAAATTTTGAATTTATTAAATTATATTACCAGCTGTTGGTGTCTTATTTTGATGTGCACACTTTTAAAACTACTTATTTTTCAAACGCCCATTGCTATACTGCGAATACGAATTTTAGGCCCATAATCACTGACCTAAAATCACTGATGTTAATTTGCACTACTTATAGCAATAGTCATTCGAAAAGTAATGAAGTTTTATTAAGTATTTAAAAATTTCCTTCATTCTCATTAATAGTCACGTGCAATATGTGCACACGTAGCGACATTTTTGTATGAAGAAAGTAGTAATTAAAACCATAAAAAAATTTAATGATAATAAATTCAAGTTTGCTAGAGTATAATGGCAAAAAATTTAACCAAAGCTATAAACATTGAATTGTAATTTTGATACGTGTATCGTATTAAAGCACGTGACTGTGCGCACGCGCCTTATTTCAGGGTGACCATAATAGAGCATTTGAAATTTGACTACTCTGATAAAAAGGTGTCGGTTAGTCGGTTCCAATAGCAAAAAACTTATATTGTCAAATTAATAAGGGTATTTCACTGTCCACGCTGGCATAAGCTAATACTATATATACTATATAAGTCTGGTTTTTTGCTACTGTAACCAGCTAAATGGGGAATTCTAGTAGAAATTGCATTTTCTCGATTACGGTCACACGGGAATAAGGCACGCAAGTTGGTCTCTTGCTCACAAATAAGCATTGAGACTATGGTAATCGTTTTTCTGAATTAAGATCGAATTTTTAATTCACAGTTCATAAAGTCGTTAGTACACTTGCAACTAATACACTTCTTCCATAGGAGTACTAATGAGAATAAAGGTAAAATATGAAGGTAGTTTTTACATAAATTAATTATATGAAGTTTTATTTACAAGAATTGTCAATTTACATTTTATTTTCTATGTTTATTTATTACTTCACCTGTTCTCTTGGGATACAGATCTACTTAAACTCTGTCTAGGTGTCTTATTCGTGGACTGCAGTTTACTAGCACATTTTGATATGTTGGCTCGACCCATATCAAAAGGTACCCCATTACCTCCTAGCGTTGAAGTTAACTTCATAATATCTTCAAGGGTTCTGATAAACGTGTCACAGGTTGCTGTTAGAAGGCTTGACGCATCTTCAATTTTCTGAAAGATGTAGATTTAGAGCATTATTAATTATACTATATACTGAGATGGGATTGATGAAAGATGTAAACATACAATTTTCACTGTAATAGTTACAGCTCATAGGTCATAAACATTGTTCTTAGATTCTTTTATAAACAGATATAAAAAGGAAAAAAATACCCATATGGATTAAATAACTTAAAGAACTTTTTAGACCCACACACCATGATCATTCTAGCAACATTATCTAACCACCAGTTTCCCAAATCTATCACACTACATAGCCAGCAAAAACTGGCTAGTTGCTTGGTTGGTTTGCCCATCGACAACCTATCACTCCCTTAAATTGCGGCGCTGGTATATCCGGATCAGATTTACTGTGATTGGGTATGGTGTCTTATAGTCTCCCTATGTTTCCGCGTCGCGGGCCGTCGTGCGGCCGCGAAAATCAAGACACTTATAGGCAAGGCACTTTGACAGTCAAAACATGATATTTTAATAAAGTTCTTTATTATTAAAAACTGCAATAAAAAAAATATTTATTGCAGTTTTTTAAATTTTTATAGTGGACACATACGAAGCAATAGGCGTTTAATGTATTTTTAACTCTAGAAGACGTAGTTTTATTACTATATTATCGATATTACCAAGAGTGAAAACATCAGTCTCAAAAATGCCATAGAATCATCGCAACTCGCAGGATTTTCGAGACCGAAATCGCAAAATTTTCGAGACTGAGATTACCAGGATGAAAGCCCAGGTGCTCATGTCTAATGTTTATTTACATATTACCAAGAAACTGAATAATTATTTTTGTTTACACACCCACTTATTTGTAATAATATAATGCTCTATTATGTTATCTATACAGCACCAAGAACCATATAAATAAAAGGGTCAATCAAAGATTATATGTACATCCATGAAATATCACTATTAAGACAAAATATTTTAGTACAAGAATCAGTATTTATGAGCTTGTATTATTAATCCTATTTAATTTTAAGAAAAACTAATGTTTGGATAACATTTGGTTTGTAGGCACATACAACCTCATTACATAAAGTCAAGCATTTTTTGACTGTTTTGAATTTTCATAATGCATAAATATTTTTTTGTTATGGCATGACAGTGATGCATTCTTGATCTCCAATTCTATTGCAGAATACCTATTTTATTTTTTAATTACACATTTCTTATATATAACATAGTGTTAAACAAAAAGTGCTGCCATTTCTAATAAAAAAAATTTGAACATATTAAAGCCTACTAGGCTGTAAATTGCATAGACCAGTAAATAATAAAACATAACCACACCTAGTTATTTATCTGGTCTCAAAACTAGGGCATTCTCTGTATTGATTATCAGAGCAACAATTAAATCCAGGGCACTACCTAGAATACTCAGCTCAGAACCAATTTAAAGAAGTATGTTTTCCAAATTGGGGTTACTGGAAATCGAAACCAGGCCTTCCTCATCTTTCACAGAATAAAGACTATAAATAAGGATAAAATTTCCAAATATACTATGACTAATTATTATTTCAAAAATGTAACTTAGGAAATTAGTATATTCTGTAATGCCTAATTTTGTAAAATTTTCTTTCATAATAAAAATTCAAACACCAACCTGCACTTCAGGTCCTTCTTCAGACGTAGCTGCACTCTTAACTGCATGAACTTGTTGCATCATGAGATCACAGTATAGTCTTAGTTCAGACTTTTTGTGGCACAGAGCATTTGTGTCCTCGAGGCCTGTGACTGCAATTAACATTCACTATATACACCTCTTAGATAGTAAATATTATAACTCAAAAAACTTCATAACATGCCCATTAAATACGTCAGCAACATGCTTTGTTAAAATTTAAGGATCAAGCCCAATATTTAGCTGACACTTTTATTGACAGTTTGATAGAAGTATGTCATCTTTGCATGCATTTCATCAGATGCATGTAATGTCTGTATTATTATTATAGCTTTTTATTAAATAAATAATTATTGTTGATTATTATTGTAGGTTGAACAGCGAATGTCACCAGTGTGGGACACTAATTCAATTGAAGTCATTCAGCAGAGGTGTGCATAACTTTAGAAAGCATACAGTACACAGACCTGTTTTAAGTGCATGTGGGCACACAAACAAACATTGGCATAAAAACTAAATAAAGATACAAAAAGATTATACTTAATAGTGCCTACCAATAGCATCTCCTTTGGAATCTACACAGGCCTTGGCACTGCCTAAAGCTACCAGCCACTTCTGCCGATCCTGTGGGGATGGAGCTCTCAGGTACATGTGCTGCTGCCCAGGGATAACTAAATCCAGTCTAGTGTTGTCTATGGTGTTCACTGGAAAACAAGTACAATTGCATATCATACAAGTTCAGCATGATACTCGTAATAACACCGCTGACCCAGTTTCCTAACATATTATATTCTTTAGATCATTTATGTGGTAGAGCAAAACCAAGCTACAGCTTATACACTGACCATTTATCTGACATACTGATATTTTTACAGATCCTTTACAGCCTTGATTTACTTCCTCCTGGGATTTGTAATAAGATAAAATGCCATTTTCCAAAACGAACCATCTGGTTTGCCAACCTGGAAGTTATTACATAAATTTAAATAGGATTTGCAAGCAATGGACACAAAGCAAACGTGTTCTTACGCTTACCATTCCAATAGTTTGTCCATTTCCACAATGTACCTTCCATTGTATACGTTTTTTGGAAAATATGAATTTTCGCGATCAAAAATTTGGCCAAATCAAACAAATGTCATATTGAATTTTTTTTAAATAAAAGTTTTTGCTTGGATATGAGTCCTTTGAGCCATGTCTTCAATTATCGGGAATCGGGATCCTCAATAAATATTTTACATTGTAGTTCTAAAATAATACATCATGTTTTCACTTTCTCCTAAATAACTTAGTTCTCTTGTTTGGGTTTTCTAAATAGTCTTTTAAGCGGCGGAAATAAATATTTATTTCACATTATATATACACTAATTATGAGTTGTTCATTAGCATAATTTTAGCATTCCACTTGTATTTATTTAATCATCGTTTAATCTATATAATAATTTTTACATACTTAACACATTTTTCGTGAAAATATTCGCTCACAAGCCGTATTTGACATAGGTAAAACCATCATTGCTTTAGCAAAATCAACCAAATTTGGATACTTTTTGGTTCCATCAGCCTTAGTAATTTTTCCAATGTGGCCCCAAAATCTTTCCGTGTTCATAGGCGTGACGTCAGAGCTTCCTCCAGATTCGAACAAGTCGCTCACTGATTTGTCTAGTTTTAGCGTCCTGTATTCTTCCTGTAGTCAATTGTTTGAACGTCAGATTCATGGACCAAATTAGGAAATTGAGAAATCAAATTTACTAAAGACGTAAAACCTTCGTAGACAACGTTTTGTGAATGAAGAAATTGCATTTGTTCAAATTTTTTCCATCCTGTAAGATTCAAATGGCTTAGTAAGTGGTAATTTTAGTTCAACACAGAGTTGAATAAAAAGAAATTGAATGCGTTGTAGGAACGTTGTGATTTCTGGCTTTTACGTCGCATCTTGAACTAAAGATTCAATTTGTTTACTGACGTGTACTACAAAATACATTTCATTTAAAGGCAAGAAATTCACTGTTGAAGTTGGATCTAAGTCCGAAATGTTTGTGTTTCTGTAATAACTCATTTTCATGTAACCGCTTAAAAGAAATATAAGCATATCGGCCCAATCTTTGTATACCCTTTGCACTGTGGAGTACTCACCTTGAAATATCATAATCATCTTGTTCGGGATGGGTAAAATGTAATCTAGAGAGTAAAAGTAAAGTTTAATGATATTCTCGAAATTTTGGAATTAGAATCTTCCAGATTCGTAGCATGGCTACACATGATAAGCGCGACGCCCGCGATAAAATTGTCAGATCTAATTTAAATAGTCAATAGGGCACGCTTATTTCAATTTTATTGCGCGCGTCGCGACTGTCGTACGTAGCCGTGTCACGGGGGCCGGTGTTGTCCACGAAAGTAATGTTCCAATGGATCCCATTGTTCAATAATTCTACTGATGCATGCATGAAGCAACAACCACCGGATATGGTAATAATGATTGTGATTTTCTGAATTGAAAAATTTTCGAAATTCTCGCTGTCGTTTGCTGCTTTGCACAAAATATCCGTAAACTTCTTTGACAATCTGGTTTAAACACCTTGGTAAAGTTCTTTTGCTGGCATGACTTACGGCTAAAGCAATTGAGTGGCAACCACTTTTCACAAACACGCAATGTGGATTAAATTCCCCTATATTAGCAGTTACACCCCCGTCACGCCCAAACATTACGTTAGTTGTATCAGCACCAAAACCAATAGCTTGTGTTATGTCACATTACTTAGTGACTGCGAAAGTGCATCAAACAAATTCTGAGAATTCTCACCTTCTAAATCCATTAATGTTAAAAGCTTGGTTTTAATTTGCAAATTGTTATTTTTTTCTGAGCTATATTTTATAATTATGGCCAGAACCTTCGTATCTGCCAGTAATATACAGAAGTAGTATATTATTAGGGCATCTGGATACAAGGAGTTATCCAGACGCCCTAATAATATCTATTCAAGAAGTCATTACATCTATTCAAGAAGTCGTATTGCATGTATTCAAAGTGATCACTTATTTAACATCTATTCAAGAAGCCATTACATCTATTCAGATAGAGGTTGGAATAAAAAATAATAAGATCTTAAATTTATTAAGAAGTCCGTATATTCAGAATTCATGAACTCTTATATCGAGAAATTAAAACAAAACAGCATTAATGGATTCACATAGTTTATTTACAAAAAATATTATTTTCTATACACCACTTATTCAAATAGGATACATTTTTAAAAGCACATATATTAGTATGGTATATACAATTTTGAATATCCGACGACATTGAATATTTATCACTTAATGTTTCTAAATTAGGACAGTTTACGTTTTCTAGATTATGTACATTATCACTTTCTATTATCTTCTTCAACCACCGTACTTTTTCAAATCCTTTTGCATAAACACGTTTATTTTTACAGAAATCTAACATCAAACTCTTATAATTACAATAAGGCACATATCCTTCATTCCATAATATTCCTCTGTTTTTTTCTATCCATGAAACTTGTATACGTTCCTTCTTTGTTAGGTTATAAAATCGGTATGGTGGTTTAATCAACAACACAAGCATACTCTTGTTACAAATAATTGCGATTTCTTTCGGTATAAATTGATTGTTTTCGTTTTTAAAACCTTGAATATCCATAACCACGTTCATGATATTTTTCGAACAATGTTACTCAGTGGTCTATACTCAATAAGACGATCGTTTATGATCAGACAGTAGCCAGTTGTATTTTCAGGTATATCTTTTGAAGATTCGATCTCTAAACGAACGTCAACGGGTCCTGTTTTCAGTGAATCATTTTGTCTTGAACAGTCAATAACGAACAGTGGAGCTTTTTCCTCAAATGCTTTCAAATCAAGCAAGGGATCGATGCTCGTGTTGTAATACGACTGACGAAAGTTAGCATACATTTCGTATAATATACTATATTTGTCTTCATCAAATTTCAAATTAAGTGAATCATAAGGAAAGTACTGTGAATTTAAAAACAACTTGACATTTGTTATATTACAATGATCAAAAACAGATGGACTCTTCGATTTGTTCAGTTTTCTGTTAGTTTGTAAACCAAATATAACATATCTTGGTTTTTCTAACTGAGAAGCAGTTTTCACTGACCACGAGTGTTTTGTTGTCTTAGGTAAAAGAGGATATTCATATAAATCCCAATTCCGGAAAGCTAGTTGTATGGGTCTATCTTTTTCTAAATGCTTAAGTAATAATAATCTGTTACGGTCTGAAACTCTAACATGCGGTACACGCCATTGAACTTTTTGTATGTCTATTGCCACGTTATCTTTGCTATCAAGTATAACACTATTTAAAACTGTATTACTTCGATGAAGTATAAGTTCATGTCTACAATTGGCGACAATTTTCTTATAATCTTCTGCAAATCCTAATACTTTATTTAGTGGTATAATAACAGAGAAATGACCATCTTTTCGAGTGGACCCATTTAAATTCCAGCCCCACAGTGCTGCACTTCTACTTTCTCCTTCATTCATTGAGATGAGAGATTTAATGGTTGTTGTGATTCCCGTATTTTTAACATGATCTATTTCAACACCATTTAGTTCGTATTTTATGTATTGAAATAAAAATAATATCGGATTATTTATAAATTTAATCTCTTTTGGTGTTTTTTTTCCTGCTGCATCTTGTTCAAATACACTTGCACACCCCTCAATGTAAATGGAGCTTGCGGATGGTAATATATAAACATCTTGCTGATGAATAGGTATTCTAATTTCATCGTTTTCTTTATAGCTATGATTGTAGGGATTATAGCTGTGGATTTCATAGCTTTCAATGGAATTATCTTGCTGTGGTGGGTCCGATATTTGCAACATGTTTATTTTTTATTATTTATTTCTAAACCAAGAGAAAGAAGAAAGTTTTTATTACTTTTAGTAATTTTCTTTGTTGTGCCTAATCGTCTTCTCCCTTTGAACACTGGAAGCTGAATATTGAACTTTTGTTCATTCAATAAGGTTTTATTGTAAACATACATATTGATTTAATATTATAAAATATAAGATAATGTTTTATGATGACTACTATAATAAACATATACTTAGCACCCAATTCTGAACAATGTTCGTGTAGGAATGTGCTCCACTGGTTTAACATTTCATTTTATTTATTTATTGTCTTTGTAGTTGAATCATAAATATTTAGTTTTCCAAAATGATGTCAGAAATTTTAAACACAAATGCCCGCAGTTGTATAGATGATTTCCTTGTAAATTATCATAATTATATTGAATACGTGGTCCCACATATGCTATAAACTCTTTCGGTGGTTTTAAGTTACCGTAACTATCGAAATATTCGATATAATCTTTAAATTTTCCATAAGCTACCCAATGAGTTCCAGAATTTCTAGAAGAATCTAAATTAATCACACCACATTCCATTAACCATGGCACCTTCGGCAATTCGTCTCTCATAAATACACCACGAAAGTGAGGAATATTTTTTGTGTGCTTTATAATATCTATATTAGTTAAAGCTCTATTGGGTAGCCCAGTATCTAGTTTTTTTTATTTGAAACATAAATTCCTAAACCACTTTTGTACGGCTTCAGATGTAATCCTTTTCCAATACACATCGCTTTCATTTTTATATTATGCCTCTTCAATTCTGATAGTTGTTTTTTGGCTGACTTATAATTATTTACAGCTTTGGTGATTCCATCAACACCCCCCGCTAAACTTCCTGTAGCAGATAATCCGGCAAAAATAGGAACTAATGGTAGAAATCCACCGGTTTTAGGTACAGGTATCACTCTCGGTAACGGTACGGGTAAGTCAGAAGCCAATTCTTGAGCAGCTGCATATGCTAATTCTATTAACATTTTCTTGCATTTTGGTTTTAGTTTGCGGATATGTTTTTTAGTATGCGAAATAATATTGCTCAATATCGTTTTTGTCATACCCGCTCCAGTTTTCTGAGCGGTTGCTAATTTGTCTTTTCTCTTCTGATTCGCGTTATCGGAATTATCATTTAAGTTTTTCATTTTCAATAATATTGTTTGCGAATACTTTATTCAAAGCGGTCTTTGTTATGTTAAGATCTCAATACAAATGATTA